GAAATATGGCTGCTGTCATACCTTAATCAAATAACTAATGCAGAGCTATGTGGCTTTGTCACTAATATATGGATGATAATAATGTAGTTCAGATTTCATTGCCACAGACCTCTTGTTTTGTTCACCAACAGAAGTTACAAGTCTCTGTAATCGCTATTCTCACAACGGTGATTAGCTCTCAACCCCCTGTAGTAACACCTCCTGAACAGTTTAACTGAGCCTTTAATTCTGCTGAATCCATTTGTCTATCTGTAATGGCTTTTGTCTCTAATAGTCTATTACTTAAGACAACTTAAGGTATAAATACACATCTCAGGAGGTCAAAGAATATTAAAATAACTGCTGAGTACTTCCAAATGGGAGTGATGGTGAACTTGTTCTGAAAACCATGTTTCCAAAGCCCAGGAGACATTAGTTTTATGTTCTGCAAACATAATTTTTTTTTCTTTCAAGTAAAAACTTGAGTTCACAAAATAAGTATACATTGATTGCTTCAGTTACGCTTTGGCTAGACTAAGGTCTTTGTGTTTGTAACGTACCATGTCATGCCATTTTGAATTAGTCTTCGAAGGAGCAAAATTGGTACTTGCTAAAATCATAAAAAAATGCTTTCTATGCCAGCCTACACAAGCTATGAGCAGCAGAACTGGCACGGCATCCTGCACCCTTCTGTCCCACTTCCTTAAATCTTCCTGTGGCCCAGTTATGGCCACTTTGCTCCACCTACATTTCCCAGCTACTGGCAGGTCTGCGGTTATATGGGTGGTGTTAAGGTCTGGAAGCCAAGGAGATACTAGTTTGGTTTTACACCTGTTGTCCATTGAGTGGTCTTCGTGAAACCTTTAGGAATTTATACTTTTGAGATCTCTGTCTCCTTGTTGAATGTGGTTGGAATTAGCAAAGTGCTAGTGCTGGGGATGGATGTACAAAGTGATTATGTAGGTATTTTTATTTTTTTCTTGGAAACTAGAAGTAATGATAGCCAAACAAAGGTTCACTGAACTTCATCAGTAATTAGGAAACATTTATTCTGGGAACAAATGTATTAGTTTTCAACTTTATTTTTTTCAGAAAGCCAGAAACACAAGAAAACTTGCGAGTATTTCTCAGCTATATTAAGAGTACAGTAATACAATATTTGGTAACAATTTAAAATGTTAATTTTTTTCTCTTTTCAGGAATATCCAGCATAATTACAGAGCAATATGCAGATGAGTAGGAACTACACAGAATTAGAAAAAATGAATAATGCAGCATGCCAACAGGAACAGTAGATATTGTAGAGCAGCTTAAAGAATTATGTTGACATTGTAACATGAAATTTTTTGCACAATTTTAAAGTCTTTGTATAAAAACCAAGGACAGCAAAAATGTATTTTTAATTCAGAATTCAAGAAGAAAGTATTTTTAAGAATAATAAGGCCTTGCTTAATGTGAAAGAAGTATGGAATTAGTTTCAAATTTGAACTTTACTTTGGAATTAATTTGTGCCCTTGTCAAAAAATAGAGAGCAGTGGGGTTTGATGTGTTCTAGTACTGTCTCTGGCCAAAGCGTGATGGGGTCTTTGTGTCCTCAAAGGTGGCTGTAAATCCCAAGGCCCAGACTCTCACTGGTGTTTCAGTTTCACTGGGAGCTCCCCTGGGGGTACCTGAACACCTTTGATTATGTGGCCATAGGGGTCTGCCCTTTTTAACGGCAGGGTAAAACCTTGGCCTTTAACCAAACCTTGGCCTCATCCCACCCCAAAGGGGGTATGACAGGCAGGCCTCCGTCCTGGCAAAGGCTGACCGCCTGCCCCTCGTCCTGTGGGTGACCACCTTTGCCTGCTACCTCTTGGTGCAGCTTGAGGGTGAACATGCGGGCCCTGCCTGCCCACGGGGGCCAAAGCAGCGCTGTCAGCACATCGAGTTCGTGGGGAAGACGGTGCTGATCCTGTGAGAGAAGGTATCATGGCTGTGCCCCCCGCGGCCTGTGGAGGATCGGGAGGGGAAGGAGGCGAGCTGGGACTCGGCCCAGGTGAGAACAGCCGGTAAGGGAGCGGGGACGGG